CAAAGCTATTAACCGACATCAAAGTTTTTCTGGCTATTAGAGCTTTGGTGCTTTTGCTTTACATAAAATAAGTAAAAAATAGATATCTAAATTTATCATAAAAACATTTCACCTGCTTTTCGAGAAGCGGAACTTGCAAAAAGCTTAAGCAAATAGACTTTTAAATTTTGAATGCAAAATTTTAGAGGTTAACCTTCGAGTCTAAAGGTTTTTGTTTGAGTAGATTTAAAACCGAATATATGGAGTGTAATTTTAGTAGTAAAAGATCTAGTGGGAGGATTATGACTTTGGGTGATCAAGTCATTAATAAGAGTTCATGTTCTATATATCTTTGGTCTATTGTTCAGAGTGATGGTGAAATAGATGGGGATATTATTAGTAGAAATTAAATTTAAATGGTTGAAGTGAAGGATTGCACCTGACTTGTTGAGTGATAGAAAAGTCGCCCTCAAACTTATGGGAAAATTCATTAAGATGGTCGTGAGATTTGTGATGCTTTATGGTGCATAATGTTGGCCATTAAAAGAGAAGCATAATATTAAGTTAAGTGATGTAGAGATGTAGATGCTCAGGTGCATGAGTGACTTTACTCTTAGAGACAAGATACAAAATGAGCATATATGTGAAAAGGTTGGAGTAGCTCTAGTGGAAGTATAGAGAGTCACCTTAGATGGTTTGGTTACATAAAACGGATTCCTTCCGATGACCCGATTAGGAGAGTAAATGTATTAGAATTGACTTATGTTAAGAAAGGCAGCGGTAGACCTGAAAAACTTCATTAGAAGATATTAGAAATGACATTTTTTTATTAGATTTAAATTGGAATTTGACTCTTAACATGCCATAATGGAGAAAAATGATTCATGTAGCTGACCCCACATAGTGGGATAAACGCTTGATGTTGTTGTTGCTCTAAATTTTTCTTTGAATCTTGATTAATAGAAATCAAGTGTAATTATCGAGGACAAGTGTGAATTGAATGAAGTTTAGTATTTTTAATCCCATTTCCTCTCCCTCCTTTATGAGCTCAACCCTAAGGAACTTGATGCTTGGACCTCTCCTTGTTTTCTATCCACAAAAATTCAGCCATAACTAGAAACCATGTTTCCTAAACCTATAGCACTTGGTGGACAAGACCCAAGAGGAGAATTAATTAACGCTACCTCCAAGTATTTCTTCTTTAAGTTTTGTCCAACTGCAGATTATCTCACCACTATTAGCAGAATTTCAAGGGAAATAAAAAAGATAAAATGAAAAAAATAAGCAAATTGCAAGGAAGAGTTAGAGAAAATATTGTCTAAAGAAAGGTGATGGAGGAGGTTTCCATGAAGTCTAGCTGCCTTATCATGCTATCATGGTACCTAGTCTATAAAGCATTCTCTTAACTGGGTCTTCTCTGTATACTAATCTCTATTTTTTGCGTTTCATGCATTGTACATCAATCAATTTGTGCACTATTATTTTATATAAAAAAAACATATAGTGGCTGTCGACAAATGAATTTCATGCAACAACAATAGGTTTAGTGACATTGGCTAAACAGTAATGCCGACAAAAACAGGGAGTAAAATAGCATTCAGTAGAGAAGGAAGGTGAAAGCAGAGGAGCACTAGCTATAAGGGAACAATGACAAAGGCCTTCTAACCTTCGGTTTTAGTTAAAGTAAAGAAGAGTTTGAATTTCGCAAAATTATTTGGAATCATAGTTTTTAGGGATTTTTGGTAGGAGAGGAAACAGAAAAGGAAAATAAAGAATTTTGGGAGAAATTTTGTTAATGTTACTAGAAAATTTTGGCCTTTAAATATGCATTTATATGATATAATCCACTTATAAACAAACTCTACAAAAAGACAAAAACCCTATCTATAAATAACATACTAGATATGTTCAAATTACCTGATAGTTCATGCTAAAAATTATCATCACTGGCTTATCCAAGCAAGTTTTCAAATCACCACTTATCCTGCTTTAATTTGAATTTCAATCCTACGATCAAGCTTTCAAGGCTTTGATCACTAAGCTTCTAATTGACGATTTGTCTTCATCATTGGATTCCTTGCAATGTTTCATTCGATCTTAATGATATGGTATGAGAATCACCATCATTGGCAATATCCATCAAGAAATTAAAATGTTTAAACTTCAACAAACATAATCCTTTTGATCTTTATCCAATCTGATTGATCACCTATTAGATGAGATCCTAGTTCCTATCCTTTTTATATTGCACATTAAATTAAAATTTATTCTGTTTGTTTTGCCGATCTCCATTTGTGTGTGCTTTTTGCCGATGATATTCTTCTTGTTGATAAGACTAGAGAGGGAGTTGAAGGTAAATTTGAATTATGGAGGTCAACCTTAGAGTCTAAATGTTTCACTTGAATAGATCTAAAATTGAATATATGGAGTATAATTTTAGTAGCAATAGGCCTAGTGAAGGGATTGTGACTTTAGACAATCAAGTCATTAATAAGAGTATAGGTTTTAGATATATTGGATCTATTGTTCAGAGTAATGGTGAAATAGATGAGGATATTATTAGCAGAATTCAAGTTGGATTGATAAAGTTGAGGAATGCATCAAGCTTGTTGTGCGATAGAAAAGCCCCCCTCAAACTTAAGGGAAAATTCTATAAGATTGTGGTGAGACTTGCAATGCTTTATGGTGCTGAATGTTGGCCATTAGAAGAGAAGCATAATACTAAGTTAAGTGTTGCAGAGATGAGGATGCTTAGATGGATGAGTGGCTTTACCCTTAGAGATAGGATACGAAATGAGCATATACGTGAAAAGGTTGGAGTAGCTCCTATGGAAGATAAGATTAGAGAGAGTTACCTTAGATGGTTTGGTCACATTAAACAGAGGCCTTCCGATGACCCGATTAGGAAAGTTGAGGTATTAGATTTGACTTATGTTAAGAAAGGTAGAAGTAGACCTAAAAAGACTTGGTTAGAAAATATTAAAAATGATATTTCTTTATTAGATTTAAATGAGAATTTGACTTTATACAATGACGAAAAAGGATTCATGTAGCCGACTCCACGTAGTGGGACAAAGGCGTGATGTTGTTGTTGATAATATGAATTTTTTGGCAAACATATGGTGGTAGGATTAAGTATTAATTTTTTCCTCTTATTCCTATAAATTTGAAGTCTCAAATAAGTATTTTATTTTTGAATAAAGAATTATTTCTTGAGCTTTCTACTATCCTTGAATGTTTGTCACTCCCACGTAATGTACTGCTTGAATGCATGAGTTCATGATCTTAAGTGGATTTCTAAGGAAAGGACATCAGTGAAATGAAGGGTTTTTACTTCAGTGCATATTAATTTCTTCTCCCTTAGTTATGTTATAATCATCAGAGGTTTGATCTTTGATAGCTGTCTCTTTGCTTTCGTCAATTTTGACAGCAAGGGTGATTAACATATCTAGATCTTGCGTCATATCAACCTCATTTTGTTATTATTATTGCATTTGTGGTCAATAATAATTGCATATTTATCACTATTTACTTGCAAGCAATTTAGTGAAGCATTAGTGTAATTGTCACAGTTTCCCCATTACATTTAGTTTTGAATTATTCCCACAAAAGCTTGCACTCATCCTATAGAAGTTTATTTTTTTTGCATCAGGTGCCATTTCATTGGATGATTTGCGTTACATGAAGTAATCAACCATCCTAGTTTTCTCACAGGACTCGTGAATATAAATAGAAAGAAAATAAATAATACGTCCAAGAGACAAATGGAGAAAAGTGCTCATTGTAGGAGCAAATGATTTCAAAAAAGTTTTTCAATAATTTATCTTGAATGGATTAGTAAATATAAATTGAGTGTGGACTTAATTGCGAAATGATAATTCTAAAATTCAATGGGTAACTAAGAGAGAGGTGAGAGAATATTTGTTAGCGAGAATCAAGAAAATTAGCTAGTTCTTTTTTTTAAAGGATGGCTAATTACTTTAAAATGTTGGAAGATTTGGATAAGAATTCTTAAATTTGTGCATTGTGGATAGATGTGTATATGATCCTATTTTTCTACAAATAGGAGACGTGTAAGATGTAAAATTTCAAGTTGTAATCGGATAAGTAGGAACCCTTTTAGGATTTGCCGGTTTAGTTGTAGCCCAATCAGTGGCTGCACCACATCCCTTGGCTTTGGCTTTCACTTCTTTTGCCAGTCCCTGTTGTCATATTCCCTGCAACCTCCAGCCAGACCACCTGCTATTTGCCTTTTCAAAATCCGAAAAACAATACCAAAATTGCTGTTTTCCATCACCCAAGCATCGAAATCAAGCTCGCTTCTTGTATTTTTGGAAGAAAACACTAAGGAATCCTAATTCCCTTAACTATTTCATTTAAAACTTGATTTTTTTACCCTAGAAGAGTTCCCAATGTTCCAAAAGCTATAATTCCGTATCATAAATTATTACTAAGTCCTAAATTTAAAGCGAAATGTAACATTGGTCAATTTTCAACTTGTCTTCAATTTTAAATGTTTAAAGTAGGGTGGCTTTTATTTGCTGGATTTGAGAGGCTTGTGTAGTAGGTGGATCTGTGGGCTGTTAGGCATTGTTGGATGTGGAGGTTTCAATCAACATATGAATTTTGCTAAATATTTTATCAGAAGGACGCTGCAGAGTATCCTTGCAGGATGTGTTATAGAAAGTAGATGATTATTAAGTCTAGGATGGCACGTATAGCAGTTACATGGCCTTAATTATTGATGGTACATTGGCATCACATGCCATTGTTTCCTGTCTTGCATCCTCTTCATTCCGTGCTCGTTATTTTTTACCTGAGATGCATTGAGCGCAAATAAGCGAGATGAGGAGTGCTGCAAGAGTCATACGAATGATACATTTTGTTGGGCAGCAGGTTTTTAGGTAAAATCTAAACATGAATGGTGAATCTAGCAGAAATAAGCTGCAATAAAGCCAGCTACTTGTTGATTTCAACATCCTTACAGAGCAGGCATATATGCTGATTTCAGTTGATTTTAGATTCTGTGGACAGCAAAACAGTATATTGTGCCTCAATTCAGGAAGTTCTGCAATAGGATTCAGCATTCCCGCAGCAGGGCCGCAGGTTTGGAGGGTTTGTGGAAGCTAAATAACGGATCATGCATCTATTGAACAGGTCAGAAAGGGGGCTTTAAACTTTACAATGATCAATGGTGTTCCAACTCATGATTATTTCGTCATATTGTCACCTTTCTGCATGTTTACCTTGTTGATGCAGACTGCAGCCGTTCCACCAACCCTGATTTTTTGGTTGCTTTCTACCTCTATCCATGGCTCTTGATCCTCTGATCGCTTATTGTTTCCAACCACAACTTCTGATGATTTGACTGCTTACCGTTGCTGCCTAGGACTCCTGATCTTTAGCTGCTTAATCTTGGTAACCATGGGATCCACTGTTTTTCTATTATGCTGTGGATTTATAGGCTGCAGCTGTTTCTGCCTCTTACTGCACTGTAGCATGGAGAGATTGTTAGTAATTCTACGTTTTAGCTACAATTTAAGTATTGGAGGTTGTTTTTTTTTTTTTTTGTAAATTAAATAAAAGTTTGAGGCATATCTAGAATTCATTGGTTGTTAAATAAAATTTATAGTTGGATGTCTAATTCTTTCTTTTGGGAGTTTTGCTTTATTGGTTGTAAGTGAGAGTATCACAAGTGAATTTTGTTGCAATCTGGATTTATGTTGATTGCATGAATTTTGATCATGTGCGACTTCCTTGACACTTAATTTATTATTCATTTTTGGCAGAAAGCCATATAATTTGGATAAGTGTTCAAAATTTTGTCCTATTTTTTCCTTACTCTTGATCTTATTTATTTTGACTTAACCGTTTTACGTGATATTCTCATAAAGTAAAAGAAACAGCCGAAATGATTCATCTTTGAAAGTTTAGATGCTACTTTGTTTGTCATGCCAAGTCCTATTTTTTATCAACTTTTAGTAATGGAATGCTTCTTTTTAAGCTTTGCCATGCATGCGTCCTTTGGATCTGTACTATTGCTTGGAACTATTGAAATCATCCTTTTCCATTTGGCTCTGGTGGCATTTCCAAAGCTATATATCGTTGTTTTTTTTGACAAAATAAATTATCATCATTTGGAATGGCTCTAATAAACAAAATTTTATTACAAGACTGACAAGGGGAGCAATGAAAATTGATTAACTTTTCCTTGTTATATATTGTAAAGTTATGCTTGTGACCTTGCTTAAAAACCTTCAATTGTTTCTTTCATGTTGATATATTCAAGGTTCACCAAACAATTCAGTGCCCATCACTTCGCCACACTCTTAAACCTCTAGCTTCTTGCCAACTAGCTTGTTTATTCTAGGCCATGCCCTAGGTATAATGTTCTCTTTTTTAACGAATTGGGGTAGAATCGGATGATGTAATAAATAATAATATTATAAAAAATTAATAAAATTAACATAATATATTAGTCAGTTTAATCTAAAAAATTTCATAATTCTAAGATTTTTAATACTAAAAATAAATAAAATTCATAAATATATAATATATTACATAATTTTAAAATTAAATATAAATAATTTTTATATTTATATGTTATATTTAAATATAAATAATTACTAAATTTAAATATCTTCAATTTTTATGTGTTGTTTATATAACTTTTTTTTGTATCCATAGGCTAAGAGCCTACATGGGGTGAATGAATCATGTGGCTATGATCAACTAGAATTTAATATATAAAATTATTAAATTTATTTTTGAAATTATATTCCTAAATATTTTTTTTCAAAGTTATATCATATTTAAATTAATTTATTATTTAATAAAATATTTTATATTAAACAAATTGAACTTGACGTTTAAGAATCGGGCTGATTCAACGGTTGGGCGGTTGAACCGGCGGTTCAAATCGGTTTTCACCGGTTTGATGCTAGCCCGGTTTTCCAAGAGGACCGAATCGACCATAGAACCGGTCAAATCGGTTGGGCCGGCCCGGTTTTCAAAACCATGAAATTTTTTACTAGTTTTAGAAACAGTGCTAAACTTTTATAGTGCCTTTTCAAACACCCTAAAATTTTATGTTTTAATTTGACATGCATGTTTATTATTTTGAAACAAGCCTTGGCTTTTTATTTTTACCCAAATTATAGCCGTGATTTTGTTTTGCATAGTTTTTTTTTTAATTTTTATTTTTAAGTTTGAAATTCTACAGAAATCTCTGAAAGAATAAAATAAAAGGCACAAAGTATTGGAAAAACAAAATAGACAATATAAATGATATTTATTCAAGCATTGAAGTTAACGGTTCAGAGGCAACCAAGGGGCTATGGAGATTCCTCTGCTTATATATATAAAAGAGGCCGTCTATATTTCCTTCTAGGCATAATTTTAGCAAAGCTCATTGAATAAACAATTTCATAATATATTTTTGATAAAACATCACAAAATTAGCTTGATCGGGCACGAATCTCGAGGCAAAAGCTAGTTGGAAACTTCAAAAATTAAATCCGGAAGCACTCGAACTCCGATTTCAGCAAGCTTACAGTCCAACTGAGCATCTCGGAAATACGAACCCAACGACACCAAGTTCACCCCAATTCGAGCCCAAATGAGTCCGAATCAAGGACCCGAAGCCCTGTTGGAAGATTCAAACCGCAATTTGAGTTACCAAACAGACTCCGATTTTGACGAGCTTATACTCGAATTGAACGGCTCGACGAGACGAATCCAACGAGCCCAAGATTGCCGAATTCCGACATCATTAAGGCCTTTAAATATCCAACGAACGGTGCACGATCGAATGATTCAATATCGGCCGTCCATTCAAACCACTCCCTATTCGCCCGTGATCTCACACCTATTTACAAGCCACGCCACTCCAGAAATTCTATAAATTGAGCTCTCATTCTAGACAAAGGGGACTCAAGTGAAGAGAGAGAAGAAGAAGAGAAGAAGAGGAGAAGGAAGAAGCTCCTCCTCGACCACCGCCGGAGCTCTTCCCGCCGCCTGAAGACGCCGGAACTCTGCTGGATTTTCGGGAAACGACGGGAATTTGCAGAACTTTCTAAACTTGTTTGAAGAAACGAATTGTAATTTGATTTCCTCGACTTGTGGGACGAATCAGCCATTTGTAATTTGCAAAACACTAGTGAAATTTTTCAACTGGGCGAGGCCCCGTGGTTTTTTCCCTTTTTGGGTTTTCCACGTATAAATCCCAGTGTTCTTTCATATTCCTGTTTGTGTGTTAAATATACGTGCAACGCTCGGACGTGAATTTACAAACTCTACCGCCGCGTATTTTCTAGCAAGCAATAGTTTGGTGCCGTTTGTGGGAAACAATATCCCACAACTTCAAGTATTGCTACGATGGTTAATAGGCGCAGCTGTCGTTTAGTTGGAGCTTCTTGCTCCAACTCTCGTCAGTCCAGAAATCCATCTATTAACCATAGACGACCAATGTCAGCATCTTTGTATCCTGGGTGGCAGATTGCTGCCGGAGAAGGGACCTCGGGACCTTCTTTGGAAGAAAGAATCCGAAAAATGGAAGAATCTCAGAACGAGATCCTTCAACTCCTGCGAGAGAATCGGCAGCCGACATTGGTACAACAGGAGGAAGTTTTCCTCCCTCAGAATCCACCATGGGCTGAGGATATCCGATTTGAATATCTTCAAGCAGGAGTTCATCTCCCTCCACCTAGAAGATTTTCTCAGTCTCGACAGGATAATAAACCTGCCGATACGGCAAGTTCTACACATCCTCCACCCTCAATTTGACAGCCTCGCATCCTCCCAGATCTCCCTGAAGACTCTGCTCAATCACATGGTGTGGAGCCCCCTTACGACACCCTGCATCACGAACTGCGAAGGTTGGTAAAGGAAGAATTCCCCCAAGGGGATGCGAGACAAACTTTCCGATAGAGAGACTTTCAGGAATCATCACCTCTAACTGAGGCCATACTACAACATCCCATTCCGGCTAGATTTAAGCTACCTAGCATCGAGTCTTACGACGGAACGTCCGACCCGTACGAGCATATCGACCACTACATAACCATTATGCACATTCAGCGAGCCTCGGACGCTCTCCTCTGCCAATTCTTTCCTGCCACTCTCAAAGGACAGGCTCACATATGGTTCTACTCACTTCCGTCAGGGATGATCCCTTCATTTGTGAAATTAGCAAAAGCTTTTGTCGAGCAATTTATAGCCAACCAAAGAATTGCTAAGGATTCCTCTCACCTCTCTGGAATCCGCCAAAACGAAGGAGAATCTTTAAAGGAGTATTTTCAGCGATTCTCCACTGAAGCTCGAAAAATCCCAGGAGTAGATCCTGAACTGTTGAGAGGAGTCTTCCTTGGAAGCCTTCGCCCTGGCCCCTTCTATTCGACACTTATGCACGACAATGTTCCTTCATATACCGATTTAATTCACCGGGTAGAAGCTCAAATCTCGGCAGATGAGGCTTTAAACGCCCATAGGAAACAGTTTGAACAATCTACCGTAAAGCGAAAGGGAGCATTAGGGACATATAATTCTTCCTCGCAACGAAAGAAGCAAGGGAAGAACAATCTACCTCCGAGGCCTCCATTGCCACGACGAGAACCTCGACAGGAGAAAGAGTACACTCCTCTCAATACGTCTCGAGCAAATATGTTAATGGCTGTTCGAGATCAAGATACGGTAAAGTGGCCACATCCCTTGAATCCAAACACAAGAAATCAGGACCAATACTGCCATTTCCATCGCAGTTGTGGCCACACTACAGAAGCCTGTAGACAACTGAAGGAGGAAATTGAAAGGCTTATCCTCCAAGGTTATCTTTGGCAGTTTATTTGGGATCCACCTGCCCGAGAAGAAACTTGTCCCACTGGGGGGCAAGATCGAAAACAGAGGCCACCAGTAAATAATCGAATAACAATTGGAGAAATTGAGATAATAGTTGGAGGCCCTCTGCTATTCGATAAAGTCTTTTTGGCTGTGGATGAAATTCCAACTCTAAAGAAAGCTCGTGTAGATCACACCATCACCTTTGATGATTCCGACTTGGAGGGAGTGAAAACCCCTCACCAAGATCCTCTTGTTGTCAGTGCAGGCATAAGTGACCCATGCTATAATGTTAATAGAATTCTCGTGGACAACGGTAATTCTGTAGACATCCTGTTCTACTTTACCTCCCTCAATTTGGGTCTCGCTAGAGAGAAGCTTCAACCAGCGACAGGTCCCTTATACGGATTTGATAATCGACCTGTGCGAGTAGAAGGGATAATTAGTCTCCCAGTTGTACTTGGAGAATTCTCCCGGCAAGCTACACTCTCTGTCCAGTTTGTCGTTGTAAAGTCTGAATCGGCTTACAAGGATATCTTTGGGAGGCCACTCCAATCAATTTTTGGGATTGTCACATCTATCCCTGACCTCGAGCTAAAGTTCCACACTTCGACAGGAGTTATTGTGGTGTGCGGAGATCAACAAACAGCACAAACCTGCTATCTCAGGCAGGTTAAAACACATCCAACTGATACTCTAAATATTGAGGATTTTGATCTCCGGAATGAAGACATACCTCAGAGAGCCTCTCCAGTAGAAGAACTCACCACTGTATCTATCTCTGAAGAACATCCTCTAAAGACAGTGAAAATTGGGTCACTTCTCTCAGAAGATGAGAAGAAAATATTCATAGATTTTCTACGAGAAAATCAGGATATTTTTACATGGAGTCCGGCGGATATGCCGGGATTGACCCTGAAGTAATTGTACATTCCCTTAAGGTCAATCCGGCGAACAAACCAGCCATCTAGAAGAAACAAAATTTTGCACCAGATTGTCAGCAGGCGATCGAACAAGAGGTGGACAAACTTCTAAAAGCCGAATTCATACGAGAAGTGCATTATCCTACTTGGATGGAAAATGTCGTCTTGGTTCGAAAGGGGAGTGGTGTATGGAGAATGTGCATAGACTATACTGATCTCAACAAGGCCTGCCCAAAAGACAACTTTCCTCTTCCACGCATAGAGCAGTTAGTCGATACCACTTTTGGGCATCAAATGTTGAGTTTCATGGATGCCTACTCTGGTTACAATCAAATCAAGATGAATCCGACTGATGAAGAAGCAACAGCATTTCAAACAGACAGAGAACTATATTGTTATCGGGTAATGCCCTTCGGGCTCAAGAATGCTGGAGAAACTTATCAATGCCTCATGAATAAGGTTTTCAAAACCCTTATTGGGCGTAACATGGAGGTATACATCGATGACATTTTGATAAAGAGTCTTAAAAAATCTCAACATATTTCCGACTTGGAGCAGTGCTTTTGTCTGTTGAGATGTTATAATATGCGACTCAACCCCGCCAAATGTGCCTTCGGAGTTGCTTTTAGAAAATTTCTGGGTTTTATGGTAACCCACAGAGGAATTGAAGCCAATCTCAAAAAGATGAAGGCGTTAAGAGATATGGTGCCCTCGAAGAACATCAAGGAAGTCCAAAGGCTGAATGGAAGAATTACAGCATTGTCTCATTTCCTGGCACGTTCATGAGACAAATATCTGCCTTTCTTCAAAATACTTAGAGGCGCCTGTAACTCTGGGTTCCAATGGACGGACGAATGCCAAGAAGCCTACGAACAGCTACGAAAGTATTTGAACCAACGCCCGGAGAAAAGTTGTATTTATACATAGCTGTTTCGGCCCAAGCCATCAGTTCGGTCTTGGTACGGGAAGAAAATGCTACGCAATACGCCGTCTACTATGTCTGTAAAATCCTATCTGAAACGGAGGGGCGTTATCCCTTAGCAGATAAGAAAGCATTAACGTTAGTTTATTCTGTCAGGAAACTACGTCCTTACTTCCAAGCCCACTCAATAGAAGTTTACACAAATCTGCCGCTGAAAAGTATTCTGCAAAAACCAGAAGCATCGGGTAGGCTCGTTAAGTGGTCTGTAGAACTTGACGAATTCGACATTCACTACTTGCTTAGACCCAATATAAAATCTCAAGCACTCGCAGATTTCATGGTTGAATGCACCATCCCAACATCTGATGTTCAACCAAGTACTTTGCCTTCTCCCCGTGTTGGACGTTGTATGTTAATGGATCCTCTAGAAGTTCTAGCACGGGGGCTGGAATTCTGTTAATATCCCCACAGGAGATTATTCTTGAGTATGGGCTCCGACTCAAGTTCCTGGCAACAAACAACATGACAGAATATGAAGCTCTTATCGCTAGGCTAAAACTAGCAGTTGATTGTGAAGTGCAGAACCTGATAATCCACACCGATTCATAACTAGTTGCTTCCCAAGTAGTGGGAGAATTCGATATCCACAATCCGCAACTGGCCCAATATTGCAGGATTGTAAACTGTTTTTAACCCGAATAGGAGAATATCAGATCATACATATTCTCTGAGAGCAAAATGTAAGAGCAGATGCTCTTTCAAAACTTACAGCATCAACAACGGGAGACATCTACAAGAGAAAGTGCATTGAGAAGATCCACTTTCCCAGCATTCAAGGTCCATGGGTCATACAGTCAATCGATGAATCAAGGGAGGTGTCCTGGATCAATCCCATCTTGTCTTTTTTGCAAGATGGGGTGCTGCCTAAAGAACCCATGGCTGTAACAAGACTTCGAAGACGAGCAGCAAATTTCACCATCATCGGTGGTGAGTTGTATAAACGCGCTTTCACCGGACCATACCTGAAATGTCTCCCACCTTTAGAAGCTGATTATGCGCTCCGAGAAGTTCATTCGGGAGTATGCGGAGAGCATCTGGGAGGAAGAGCTTTGGCTTATAAAATCATGAGGCATGGATTCTATTGGCCTACAATGAAACAGGACGTACTTGAGTTTACACGAAAGTGTGAAAATTGCCAATTACATTCCAATCTCACCCATACTCCAGCTCTAGAACTTGCATCACTTCAAAGCCCCTAGCCTTTTGCCCAGTGGAGAATCGACATAATGGGGCCCTTCCCTATGGCCACAGGACAACAAAAATTCATCATCCTTGCTGTAGACTACTTTACGAAGTGGGTGGAGGCTAAACCCTTAGCAAAAATTACCGAAGCAAATACCAAACAATTCTTATGGAAGAATATAATTTGTCGCTTCGGTATTCCAGCAAAGGTCATCACCGATAACAGAACTCTGTTTACTGGAAAAAGCTTTACATCTTTATGTAAAGATTTTCATATTCAACTCATCCACATGGCTATTGCCCATCCTCAAGCAAATGGGCAAACAGAGGTTACAAACCGAACAATTCTGAAAGGGCTGAAGACACGCCTAGGGAATGCTGGGGGGCAATGAGCTGAAGAACTCCCGAATGTCCTCTGGGCTTACCGCACCACAGCCAGAACTCCTACTAGAGAGACTCTGTTTAACCTCTGTTTTGACACAAAAGCAGTCATACCGGTGGATATAGGGGTCCCGAGCAATAGAGTTCAGACCTTTGACTTCAGTAAGAATGAGGAGAAACTCAGGACGAATCTAGACCTCCTCCCCGAGGCAAGGGATATAGCCTCACTCAGGGTCGCCGCAAACCATCAACAGATCACTCGACACAATAATCGGAGAATAAAACCTTGAACTATTTCCATTGGGGATTTAGTTCTATGAAGCATCGAAGCTGCTAGGAAATGCCCTCAACGCAATAAGATCTCCCCCCTATTGGAAGGTCCTTACTTGGTGGTGGCTATGGTTAAGCCTGGGACCTTCAAATTGAAAAATGCGAACGGAAAGATGCTTCCCCGAACTTGTAATGTGAGCAACCTTTGCAAGTACTATCAGTAGGAGTTGATGCTGTTATCTGTTTAGTGTGATCTCGTTCATAGTGTTTGTTTTGCTTTGTAGCCATGTTTTGTATCTTTTAAGTTTCTCGTACACTCTTTGTATTTTGATTGTAAAAGAGTACTCCTTTTTGTATCCCTAAGTTTGCTAGGGAATTATCGTACTGTTTTATATAATATAGTAATGTGATATTTACTTTTTCATTATATTATCTCTTCTATTCGAGCTTTTTCCTATGATTCGAGAAATACACAACTAATGTTGTATCTCAATCAATAGGAAACTAATCCCAAGGGGATCTAGTCCGACCTCTTCCACACAGGTTAAAATCATTAAGCAAGTGCTTTGATTAACAACCTCGGATAGGTCAGAGTGTCCCAAAGCGGATATCTCTCACATTCGTGCAAGTCAAAAGAACTACCTTAACATTCGAGTTAACATATATGAAAAAGAAAATATCTTTTTTATATCTAAAAAATCTACAAACATCAAGTACATCATCCAAAAATAACAACACACGAACAGCAGGAGCATAAGCACAATCACCGCAACAAAAATAGAAGCAACATAAAAAGCATCAAAATAATTCTACAGAATCTCAAGATCATCATCGTCGTCCTCTTCCAACACGAAGATTTTTTGCAAATCACTCTATAATTCTTCACCACCAGAATCTGGAGAAGGATCACCTGAAGCCTGGCTCGGAGTCAACTCCTCGATCTCCCCTCCGTTCTTGCATTGTACTGCACGAACGCCCTTCTTGAAGCCTTTAATGAAGCCATCCTGCATAAGCTCTACTTCTAAAGCCTTCACCTCTACATCATAAAAATAATCGCGAGCTTCTTGGACTTAATCCTTGATAAAAATCTTAAAAGCGTAAGATTTTTTGAACTCCTCTACGCCTGCAGATGGTGATAGTTGAGCTACCTTCTCCGACAATTTGTTCAGGAGCTTCTTATTCTCATCCTCAAGGATCCGCATATTTTTCAGTTGTTGTTTGTTTGTTGCCTCTGCCTCCACCAACTGTATATGCAAACGATCCAACCGCTCATTCTGGGAAGAAGCTGAAGCGATCTTGTTCGCCAATTCTGCTCTGTATTGATCGAGTTGACTCTCCACCGTCTCCACCTCCTTCACTCTGGCGTCGTATTTCTTCTTGTATTCTCCCTGAAGGTATTTGACCTTCACGAATTCATTGTTCCAGTCATCCAAGATTTTGTTCACCTCAAGGAACTGTTCAAAAAGAAAATCAACAAGTGAAAAGTATATCTTTGAAATTAGACACAAATACAAGAGAAATGGAGAGAAGGTGAACTCACAAACTCTTCGGCTCGTCGACGACCAATGCACCTATGTTTCAAAACATCCTCTGGAATATATATCCTGGACAGAGAAAAATGAGGACCCTTCCCTGCAACTGATAAGATTTTGTCTGACTTCTTCTTCTTAAGTGCCTGTGAATGTCCCTCGCCCTCAGGTCGCTTGGATTGAGTTTTTTGGGCCTCCGGGACTTTCGCGGATATCTTCAACTTCTGTGCATGCGAACTCCCTGCATGAGTGGATAGCCCCACCTTGAATAAATATTCCTCGTCTAAGCATCTGCTAAGAGAGCGCATCTCATAATGAAGAGCTTCGATTTCAGGAAGCTTCAACATACTCAACAAGTCTTCCGCTCTTATATGAAGGGGGATAGGTAGCTCCCTTAACTTTCCCCATCTTTCTTGGAGGCCCCAATCATTTTGCACAAAGAAATAATAGCTAACCCAATCTTTGGATGGATCCCGAGTACGAATATCCAACCACTTGGATCTAAAGGAAATTCGACCCTGCGGATTAGTATAGATACGCCCCATCCGGGATAAGCATTCTGCAGACAATACCGCTCCGTGGTCTCTGAAAAATGCGATCAGACCCATTACGACCGATATAGCTCAATAGGAAAATTGAGACAAACTCAATCCACAATCCATCAGGATATCAACCAATTAAGGCGGCGGCGGAAATCACAACCCCCCTCGCAAACTAAACTCGTACACTATCATGTATCCTAGGGGAGGGAAGCATGCACGCTCAGATCTCTCCGGCACCTTCATCACCAAATCATTAGGAAAATGAAATGTTTTCCTAAAAGAGATTAAAGAGTCTTCGGTAATGGTGGAGATAATGTCGTCGGCTTTTGTTGCCTTAGGAGCCTTCTTCAAACCCTCTGAACGCACAGTAGGGAGATCTTTCACAATGGAAACATCTTTGGTAGAAGTGCGATCACCCATTTCGATTGCTTCACTAAAGGGGGGGGGGGTGAAATTTTAAGTAGGGAAGATCTCCTACAAAAGATAGAAGAAAGCCCCTAGAACGGGAAAAGAAATGGGTGAAAAGCCGGGGGGAGGAGGAGAAATCCCCTAAATTTCTACATGAGATGAGGGGCGCTAATTCGAGCAGGGGAAATTTCCCACTCGCAAATAGTAGAAGCCTCAACCGTCAGAAAGCCGGGGGGAGGAAAAGAAATCCCGTAACTCCTGCACGAGAGGAGGGGGGCTAATTCGAGTAGGGGAAATTTCCCACTCGCAAATAGCGGAAGCCTCAACTGTTAGAGAGGCAAAGGAAAATGATAGAGAATGTGCAAATTTTCTAAAGGCCTAGGGGGCCTATTTATCGATTTTGGAGAGAATAGGAGGGAGTTATTGTTATTTTTCGAATGCCCTATTTTTCTAAATTTTTTTTTCTAATTTTTCAAAATTTTTTGGACATAAAAAATAGCAAAAACACTATTTTTTAGCGAATGTGGGGCCCACATTAGCGGTGCAGCCAACCGGCTGCGCCATTTTATGCGGCAAACTCACGAATCTGCGGCCAGAAGGCACGGATTGCGGCTGGCCACGGCAGCAAGCGTGGCAAGCCAGGCGCGGCAAGCCCAGTGTGGGTCCGGGTACAGCCCGTGCGGGGGGGGGGGGGGGGCAACTGATACGGCATCACAAAATTAGCTTGATCAGGCATGAATCTTGAGGCAAAAGCTAGTTCGAAACTTCAAAAATTAAATTCGGAAGCACCCGAACTCCGATTTCAGCAAGATTACAGTCAAACTGAGCGTCTCGGAAATACGAACCCAACGACACCAAGTTCAACCCAATCCGAGCCCAAATGAGTCCGAATCAAAGACCCGAAGTGCTATTGGAAGATTCAAACCACAATTTGAGTTAATAAACGGACTCCGATTTTGACTAGCTTATACTCGAATTGAATGGATCAACGAGACGAATCCAACGAGCCCAAGTTCGCCAAATTCCGACATCATTAAGTCCTTCAAATATCCAACGAACGGTGCATGATCGAAGGATTCAATATCGGCCGTCCATTCAAACCACTCCCTATTTGCCCGTGATCTCACACTTATTTACAAGCCACGCCACTCCAGAAATTCTATAAGTAGAGCCCTCATTCTACACAAAGGGGACTCAAGTGAAGAGAGATAAGAAGAAGAGAAGAAGGAGGAGAAGGAAGAAGCTCCTCCTCGACCACCGCCGGAGCTCTTCCCGCCGCCTAAAGACGCCGGAACTCTGTCGGATTTTCGAGAAACGTCGGGAATTTGCAGAACTTTGTAAACTTGCTTGAAGAAACGAATTGTAATTTGATTGCCCCGACTTGTGGGACGAATCAGCCATTTGTAATTTGCAAAACACTAGTGAAATTTTTCAACTGGGCGAGGCCCCGTGGTTTTTTTTCCCTTTTTGGGTTTTCCACGTATAAATCCCGGTGTTCTTTCATATTCCTGTTTGTGTGTTAAATATACGTGCAATGCTCAGACACGAATTTACAAACTCTACCGCCGCGTATTTTCTAGCACGCAACAATTTTAAATATAATCAGTGTTAATATATTGAGAATCTAACATGTTGGAATTAAGGCTTCATTTGTAACGGTTTTCTTATTATTTTTTAAAGCAAATTTTTTAATACAAAATTTTAAATTTTTATACTAAAAATTATTTTAAGATGTAACAAGAAATCCGTCCCAAATGAAGCCTAAGTATTTTAGTAATCCTCATGTTAGATCATGAAATCTTGGCGATTCATGCATTTTCTTACAAAACGAGTCCTTTCAAAGCATTCTTTAAGAGTAGAAGTTCAATTTGTAACGAATAGAGAAATTATAGTAGTGTAGTGTATTCTGAAGTTGAATAAGAAACTTTTATAACTTCTACCAGGATCCAATTGGAATATGATTTTTTTTTTTTTCATCCTGTTTTCACTTCAAATATGCGTTTAATGTGATTGTTCAAAAGCTTCCTGCAAACCTTAGGTCAGTAATTCTCTTAGTCTATTAATTATGTTTGATGTGTTTTTCCCATGCCGAGTTCCTCTAGAAATTATGAAGATCTTTAAATTGAGGAATTCAGACAACAATTTTATCTATCTAATTTTTCTCTTAGTGAAAAAAACCTTGTTTTCTGCTTATATGATAATACATAGTTAAAACTCACTAAGGGGCTGTTTGGTTGTCTAAAAAAAGAAATGTAGTGTAAAGTAAATGTAATGCATTTCAAATACTTTAAATCTGTTTGGTTGTCTGCAAAATAAACGCAAGAGAATTGTTTCCCTTATTTGATTAGGTATATCCAGAGTAAAATAAAAACAAATTTTTTTTAATTATTTTTTACAGGGAAGAGAACTACCTTCGGTGAAGACTAGATGAGTTTCAACTTCCTATTGCATCTGCAGATCTAGGGGCTTCTGACACTGAAATCGTCTTCTACCAATTTATGTAGCTTGTTAAAGTCACCGTATGGCTGCCCAATTTAGCAAAGTCAATTTTGACTGCGATATGTTGCAACTTTTATTACCTTGATATTTTATATTATTTATTTGATTTCCTGTAGAACACTAAATTCAAGTTTAATCTAAGTAATTTGCATGCTTAAATATATGTATTATTGTTTAGATTAATATTTAGATTAATATTGGTGTTCTGATTGACCAAGACTTCACATCAGTAGAAAGTAGTAACCAATGTATCTAAAAGGCACTCTTAGTTTTATTATCACTTTGTTCAATGTATGACATGAAAATATTGGTGTGGTTGTATTACTTATTCAATATAATCATGGCTAAGGCTACTTATGAGCTAATTTTTTGTCATTATTTTTTGAACAAGAAAATTATTTCAAATGAAGCTTAATTTATTAATTTAAAATTAAAATTTTAAAGAAACCACTGTAATAGATGAAAATATACTTGTCATAGAGAAAAATTTTAATTTTAAAATTTTAAATTTTTATTTTTCAAGTAATATTTTTACAAAAAAATTACAGAAAATTAAATTTTCAAACTGATTTTTTTGTTTAATTTAACGATTAAAATAATTGATTTCGATTAGCAATCAATAAATCACATGATTCTCATTCATAACATGTTAACAACATTAATGAAAATGTATAATTAAAAAACAAAAGATAAAAATATATTCATTGTTCATAGTTATAATTACAACAAATTAACCTGAAATAGTTTATAAATAAAAACTTTAATAGATATGCCAATCTTCAATAAGTTAAATCAGTTTCCTAGCTCTTTACTCATCCATCTTGCCTTTGAATCTATAAGTTTTGAAAGAAAAGATGGTAACAGTGTGGGATTTTTTGATAAATTATCATATATCGTATCAACCTCTTCTTCCGAGAAGCCAGGAATATTTGTTAACTCAAATATCAGTTAAGTATACATATTCCAAATTTTTTTTGGAGATGTTATTGAGCTCTTGATAGCGTTAGCAACTTTATTCAAATTATCAGCCATCAAACGAATACACTCACATATATTTTGATCGATAGCTGATGTCTTAGACTTCTTTTTTACGCCACCTCCTATACCAGATGAAGGTAGCGGTTTATTTGTTGTTCCAGTAGAATCTTCTATAACTTGCATATCAGACCACTCAGTAGGCATTGATCCATCTGCACCAACATCCGTAAATTGTGAGGGTTCATCATTGCTTAAATGTATTTGTTGAGTTCCAAGTGGAGTTTGAGAATTTCCAGATTTCACCTACTCTCCAGTTGCATGTCCAATACCGCATACTATCTCCAACTCTACATAATTTGCAATTGTTATATTTAAATAAGCATGATCTTTGGGAAAAGCCTGTAAGGAAAAATTCAGTATGCATACATTTTCTACACAAATTTGATGTAAATTAAATTTATTTTAATTGGAACTTAGGTTAATTCTATTTTACGGATATATATTTTTTCTCGACTTCAATTCCCATACAACTCCAGTGCATAACTGTTAGTGCTGTGTGTATATTTGATTCTCAATCAAAGGATATTAGATCCTTACTGTCTCTTCATTATGTTTTCTTCTAACAATCATGAGAATCATACAATGCAGGTCATCGAGCATATGGAAGAGGATCAAGCTTGTTTGCTTGGTGATGTCGTCCTAAGCTTCTTCCGTCATTAGTACTCAAAGTTTCTACACCCAACTTTACTCATCCATTGGAATAGCATGTAACAAATAACAAAACCAGTACTTGTAGAATATATGAATCCAAATAAAACAAAGAATAAGAAATTTTAGGAAGGCGTAAGGTAAAATAAATGAGATGAAAATAGTTTCTTCAAATATTTCCATATTATCAATTTTCAAAGCAGTTTTATTTTGATGATCTTGGCGGCTGTGCAGTAAAATTATAGATTGACTTTCACCAAATATTCTGCTCACGTTTCAATTTAAAAGCTCCTCAAATAATTTACAGATCATATAAGCACACTCAAAGTCTGCTTGGCTTGAATCATATAAGCATCACAAGTCTCATAATGATGAACTTACTAAGCAAATATTCTACTTAAAGAATTTATATTCTTTTAAAGCCATAGAGGAGATCTCAGAAACAAATGAAGTACAGGAGACTCTTCATAACAAAAGTGAAGCACAAAATCAATAAATTTTATAATGGATATGAAAACAGCATCCTCTAATCTATTATCCATATAGAACAAGTAACATATAACAAAAAATGGTTAATGTGTAAAAAGATTGTTAAAATGAAAAAAAATAAAGCAGGGAATTCTTTTAGTGACCAAATAATCAAAATTTTGTTGATGCAAATGGGTTTACAATATAAAGCATTAAGTAGACGGTCTGAATGTAAATCCATTAAAAGGAAATAAACAAATCTAATATCCATCATTTTGCATGCGAGTCCACATGAATTGAGCAATTTCATCTCTTTTATCTAGCCATCCTTGCGAATCATCTACTGCTGCTTGATCTCCTCTTCGACAGTGACTTCTTGTAGCCCATTCATCCTCGGATTGAATGAACTCATCACCACCTTTTGTACTATCCAATTATGCAATATGCAATAGACAATCACAATTTCAACTTGAGTTTGTAGAGGAAAGTAGGGTTCACATTTTATAATTGTGAAACGGTTTTTCAAGGAACCAAATGCACGCTCAACAGTTGTGCGTAATGAGGAATGCCATAAATTAAAAAGCTCCTTAGAATTTGTTGGTTGAATAGAACTAAACTCCTTCAAGTAATATCTTGTGGCACGATATGGCGAAATAAAACCATTTCGTGTGGAATAACAACCATCAACTAGATAATATTTACTTGATGGGACACATAAACCATCTAATATTTCTAATGCATTTTTAAGTACTGTTGCATCATAAGAAGAACCTTCCCAACTAGCAAGCACATATGTGAACTTCAAATCAAAATCTACAGCTGCAAAAACATTTTATGTTGGGAATTGTTTCCTTCCTCTAAATGCGGTTTCGTTCTCTTTTGGAACCCTAGCTTTAATATGAGTTCCATCTATCGCGCCAATACAATCCTAAATTTGACACAAAGTATATTTAATATTCCATAATAAACAGAGAGAATTTAATTGAATAAAAATTGATTATACCTTGAAAAATGGCATGAACCTATTACTTGACTTAATCTTATATGGAGTTTCAGATGGTGGAGGCTTGATAAACTCATTGCGCAATTCCCCTACAACATGTAATGTAGTTTTAAAGTACCTACTAACAGTTTTACCAGAGCGATGAAAGTTAAATCGGATGACTCGATTACGAACACTATGCCCGAGTGTATGTAATAACATAGGAACTTGTTTCTCAATTCAAACATTTATTGTGCCTACCAATAATCCTTGTGTACGCATTAAATCATATAATTTGAAAAAAGGCGCACGCCTCATGTGTACCATGTCAACACAGTCAGAATCACATCCATTATATAACCTAGAAAGATATGTGTCACATTGTATATTCCGTTGAGGATATTTTTTTTCTTTGCGAATCTGCTGCAATTGTACATATACTGTACTAATTACAATATAAATCACTTTTAGCACATCATTATATTTTTGAATTTCATGTAGTTCAACAATATCTTCCAATGGTTTAACCATCTTTGTAACTATAACAGTAAACTTCAAGAAAAAAAAATCAATGAGCAATAATTCATGAAAAGGTGGTTATGTGCAGCAGTAATCATACCATCAATTAGTTAACAAATTACCACGAAACAACTTAAAATTAATGAACAGTTTCAATTTTAAGATTCATCAAATTAGTAAAGATAAATATGAAATAAAATGAGCATTTAGCATTAGCAGGGACGAAGATAAGAAATTCTCATGGCATACAAAATTTAATATCAATGTTTGTGGCGTACTTTAAAAAACAGCCAACAAGCAAAAGACAGTTATCACAAACTAGCCGGCAAAAGAGACTCTGAACTAGAGTGAAAATCTCCTTTCCCAAAAGCCTCAAAAACTAATGGATCAGTCAAAATCACAGGAGAACTATCTACATTCATTTTGTCTAAAACAAAAGATAAGTTCCTCCCAAGCCTTCTATCCATGTAGGCATCCACAACACAACCATACGTCACAAGATCAGGGACTACACCTTTGGATTTCATGAGCTCAACACTTAAAATGGAGATCCCAAAACAAGCCCATTCTAGAAAATATCAGTGCCCTGATGTTAAATGTCGTGATATCAGGAGAGAATCCAGCCTCAATCATTGCCAAAAATACTCTTTGGAGGCTATTCATTTTGAAATTGGCAGCAAACGAGAGCAATAGCAGGTTCCAGAGAAGGTTCCCAGTGTTCCTCCTAACAAGTCCAACATCCTTTAAAAATTCACCAAGGTCATAGAACTTCCTTCGGCTTATATAAGCCAAAGCCATTGCTTTGATTGCTTCTTTCTCTATAAGAATTATTGATTTCTTCAACTGTTCATATGCAGCTTCAATCTCTACAAGGGGACCATACATGCTATAGTACTTTTTTTTTTTTTGGGACATTTAGGCCATTTAAGGCAAACTCACACACACAACGCATACACATGGACTCGAACCTTGGACCTCTTAGTTGGAAGCCTAAGCTCTCAGCCAATAGACCAAGGGGAGTTGTGTATTCTATAGTACTTGAGAAAGTCATTCCCAGTAACAGAATCAACCTTAAAGCCTCTAGAAATGAAAAGCCTGGACATACTGACTTCTCCTGCAGATAAAGGATTACTGCAAGCTACATGCCTATTAAGCCTAATGCAGTTAAAAAAATCTCTATAAATTGTTAAAAAGACACAAGAAGGGCTCTGTTCTTCAATTCAAGATCTCCATCAAATATTAAAAAGACATAATAAGGAATCTTCCAATCCTTATATTTACTATGCCACACATTACTAAATATTACCAACCAGAATTAAAATCATATCAGTCTAGGCAACATATCAAAAAATAAACTTTATATAGTTATATATAATTTGGTTCTCACGTACTCTTTCATTAACGCCAAAAAAAAAAAAAAATGATTGCAGTAGTAATCAAAATATAAAATTATTAATTATCGATAATAATGCAATACCAAGCACCACTCTAAAAAACTGCCACACCTGTGAGCTCTGCACCTCATGAATAAACTTTTCAAAAAGAATTGTTTTCTTAAAGAAAAAGAAATAGTACAAGGGTTTGAGCAGGATTTAAACGCTCAACCTAATCTCACCGCGGAATAAATCTGAATTTTTTATCAAATCCTGTAGTTCGAAGGATTGACCGGATTTGGCCGAAGAAGCGCACTAATGGGACAAAGTTACCTTCACAACTAGCGAGCTCCCGTCCTTATTTCCAATGAAAATGTTGCCACTTCTGATCCGACAGGCAAAGGGAACGTCGTCGAAGGAGCGAAGTCGAACATGAATGAAGGAGCCGAAGAAGCCACTAGTGCAATCTTACACCTCTTGCGAAGCAATGAAGCCGAACATGCAGCAACGACGATGCAAAGCATTTCATCGAGAGAATTTATAACCCGCTCAATATGAGCGGGTATATTGAGCGGGTTTCTATTTCGCACTAAAAACGTCCCGTAATACACGGCTAACGCTTCGGAGAGTTTCCTTTTGTTCCGCTCAAAATTAACCAAACAACCAAATTTAGTAAATACGTGTAATTATTTTACTTTACCCTGCTAATTCTACATACCAAACAGCCCCTAAGTTCATTATGAATTCATCAGTGTCACTCTAAATTTGGCAAGCATACTACGAATTCACCAAACTTGATATGAACTTGCCAAAGTCCATTTGATGTTGCCTATATTATATTGAACTCATCAAAGTAATTATGAACTATTTATATTGTACTCACCTTAGAGTATACTCAGCTCAACGATCAACAAAGCCTACTCTCTTAGGCTTAACGGCTACTCGTTGGCATTCAACCAAACTAGTCAGTTACTTTATCTAATGGTGGCCTCAGTCAATTATCAACATATACTTTTATTTATTTGGTTACATTTCTTAAAAACAAGCAAATGTTAAGCATTGCTATGTATTTCTTATTTTGTACATCTCAAATTATGATAGCTTTTTTTGTAGTGTCAAATCCTGACTTGAACCTATAAATAAAGGTTTACGAACAAGGCCTGAAGCATCAACTTATTTATATATAGGTCTAATACATTTCATAATTTAATAAAATCCCATAGCATCCCAATAAAAAATTTTCTCTCTACTTTTGCTTTGTTTGTCTTGGTATTCCAGTTAGTAAGGTTCTAGTGTTATTCATGAATAAATTCGGATCCCAAATCTTCGTTAGTGTGATGAGTGTTACAATCAAAGATCACAATAGCCTAAAGAAAGAATAAGATATTCAAACCATCCTAATGTTACAAGAAGGGAGAGATTGCATTTAACTAAGTAGTATTTTTCCATCACCCTCTAGAATGGCTTAAGTTGTAGAAAAGTCATACAAAATAAGGACTTTTCACATGTGACTAACACTAATGAGAGTTGGAGCCCAAGCATAAGAAATAATAAAATATTATATTTTTCATAAAGATCATGAACTTGATATGGAGGATTGTAGAGTTGTCCATAACTTTATCAAAAAGTTGATAAGAAATGGAAAGCTAATGGAGTTTTTCTTGGTAGAACTAGGGAACAAATGGGGAAGGCACATGTAGAAGATAAAAGGAATGAACTAGTATATTAATAGCTATTTTTGGAGCAGGAGTATTAGTCTCCTAATAAGTTAGCCTCAAATGACTTTATCCTAAGTAGGCTTACTTAAGTAAAGTGTTAAGAGCACTGCATAATAAAGTTATTCTAGTTACTTTCACTAAAGAAGATGTAATAGGCCAAACTCTTATCTATCAAGATATTGTCGGCTTTGGCCTCAAGGCTTCATAGTTTTATCATGTTTGTGTAACTTTCCAGGAGGTCACTCATCCCAAGATTTCTCCAGGATGAGCACGCTTATAACTATAGAAATTTCTTAATAAAATGTTAACCATTACACCAAAAGATGCATCAATGTTTAAGAGTTTAGCTTCTTTTACTTAAGCTATGCCATTGAGGCCCCACTTGAACCATGAATGGGACAAAGTGCTACATGATGGGAGTCACTACTTGAACTTGTAGGGGAAACTTATAGAATCCTATTTGCTTGGTTAATGACTCTAAGATAAAGATACTAATGGGGATGTTAGTTAAGTGGGGGAGATTATGAAACCCCATGAGTAAAAAAAAGCTAAACTCTTAAACATTAAGGTGCCTTTTGGTGTAATGGTTAAAATTTTATTAAGAAACTCCATAGTAAAACATGTTCATCCTTGAGAAATCTTGGGATGGATGACTTCCTGAGAAGTTACACCAATTAGACAAAACCGTGAGACCCTTAGGCCAAAGAGGATAATATCTCAATAGTTAAGAATTTGGGTTTTTATAAATGATATCAAAGTAATACACCAATCAGAAGATGGAATTAAGTGCAAAACAAGACAGTATGCAATGCCATGGGAGCCACCTCTAATATAAACCCTATATGGGAAAAACTACTGCGTGATATGAGTCACCACTTGAACTTATCATATCCACCTCAAGAATCTTATTTTCCTGGTGGATGATTCTAGAATAAGTATATTGATAAGCATATTAGTTACTTAAGTAGTAGGAGATTGTGAAACTCTTTAAGTAAAAGAAGATATACTTTTAAACATTGAGATGCCTTGTGGTGTAATGGTTATAATTTTATTCAAGAAACTCTGCAGTTAAGCGTATTCATCTCATACCAAGGATGGGTGACCTCTTAGGAAGTTACACCAATATTAAAAAATTGTGAGTCCATTAGATAAAAGTAAATAATATCTTGATAGTTAAGAGTTTGGGTTGTTATAGTAGATAAGCATGTGAATGGAACACCTTTACAATGATTTAAACATCATCATAATTCTAATTTTTAATTATCAAACTGATGACATTCTTATCGATATTGAGAATTATGTGAACATTATATTTAAAAGTATTTTTTGAGAAAATGAACTTGGGTTTTTCTCACTTAACGTCCACTGCTAGCCCTTATTTCGGTTTTTCTAGAGAATGAAGATAAATGGGAGGAATGATTACACTATCTATCACCTAGGGGGAGGATAACATCAATTTATTGCAATTGTTGACTTCATCATATTAGACACCTCAATATATTAAAATGTAATCTTTAGCTGATCACTCTTGAACACATTTAGAGCTATAGCCTCTACCTATTATGTTGGTGTTAAATTCTCAGCCTTGGGATTAGTAGTTACAATTAAGAGATATATTACAATCAAGGGCATGCATCTAAAAGTTGTAGGAAGTGCTCAAGAAGAGGTCTTTCAACTCAAGATTTTTCGAATTCAATCCTACAAAGGTAACAAAAGAAGAACTAATTTTTAAAGAGAACAAACTTCAAACTATCAGCATTACCACTTCATTCAATGAAGCATGCAAAAAAAAATTAATCGAAACTTATTGGAAGAATATTGAAACTTTTAGTTTGGTCAACAACCAAAATGATAGGTGTGGACATCAATATTGACTATCACAAGCTAAAGGTTGAATGAAATGCCAAGCAACACTATTAAATTGATTTCAAATCTGATGATGGATCAAAAGTCAATGAAAATGAAAAATGTGCATTACTTTACAAACATGAACTTGGTGTATCCTAAAGATAAATATTCACTAGCAAGAATTAATGCTTTATTTGACTCTATCATTGCTTTTTCTATCATGTTTTCTTGATGCATTCTCTAGGTTTCATGAAATCAAAATGCACCATGCCAACTGCGAGTGAACATCATAAATGGTGATGGTATATGATATTATAATGTTATGTCATTTGGCTTAAAAAATGCATGTGCGACTTACTAGCAAATGATGGATTAGAAATTCATGTTGTAGAAAGGAAAGAGCATTAAAGTGTATGTTCATAAATTATTGAAAAGTAAAATCATATAATTGAACATCTTAGATATAAAAAATACTTTTGTTGCATTAATGATATTCAATTTGTGTCTCAATGTACTAGATGCACTTTGGGATAAAGATTTGGAAAATTCAAAATTTTTTTGCTAGCACTAGGAAAAATAATGATGAATCTTGACATGTTGAAAGCATTTTTGCAAACTCCTTCCCAAATAGAACAATTCATTGAGAGAATTTTAACGTTGATCGCTCAATCTCAAAATTTGGGGACAAGTACTCACCTTTCTTCTTTTAAGAAGTGTTAAACATTTCACATAGAATGAGTTTGAAAACTTTTTATATAAATTGAAATTTCTTCTCTATTCACCACCATTTTTTATATGTCCACAACTAAGGGAAGATTGAACCATATCTATTAGAGTAGGATATAGTTCTATGAGTTTGTTACTAATAAGAGAATATTCTAGAAAGCAATGACCTATTTATTATGTCTAAGTTTAGATATCTAATTATGTAGGAAGTAGCTTTGCCACTATTAATCACCTCTTGTTGACTTCAACC